GCCCAAGCGCAGGCCACAATTTTTGAGCTATTACAATGCCAACACGACCAGCGGTTGCCTGCACCAGACTTGAGTTCACCTCCTCGCCATCCCAGCCAGCTTAGCGCCACGGCGTTCACACAGTTGACCAAGAGGAAAAGCTCTCGTGCCTGCTGTAAGGCGCATGAGCCACAATGGCAGCCATGTGGTAACCTGCAGTGCATAACTAGTCCACCTGAGATTGAATCCAAGCATCGACATCGCTGTGCTTGAACATGAAAGCTATGAGCAAGCATTCACGCCAATACCACGGGCAACCGGCATTTCTTGCCCAGCGCAGCACGTCCAGTTGACCATTGCGCGCTGCCTGGTTGCACGTGTGCTGATCCCATGGGCAGCCAGCGCCGTGTGCCCAGCGCAGCAGCTCCAAGTGACCCTGACCAGCTGCCGCGCTGCATGTCGATGCATCCCACGGGCAGCCGGTGCCGTGTGCCCAGCGCAGCAGCTCCAAGTGACCCTGACCAGCTGCCGCGCTGCATGTCGATGCATCCCACGGGCAGCTGGTGCCGTGTGCCCAGCGCAGCAGCTCCAAGTGACCCTGACCTGCTGCCGCGCTGCATGTCGATGCATCCCATGGGCAGCCGGCGCCGTGTGCCCAGCGCAGCAGCTCCAAGTGACCCTGACCTGCTGCCGCGCTGCATGTCAATGCATCCCATGGGCAGCCGGCGCCGTGTGCCCAGCGCAGCAGCTCCAAGTGACCCCCGGCCGCAGCCGCGCTGCATGTCAATGCATCCCATGGGCAGCCAGCGCCATGTGCCCAGCGCAGCAGCTCCAAGTGACCCTGACCTGCAGCTGCGCTGCATGTCGATTCATCCCACGGGCAGCCAGCGCCATGTGCCCAGCGCAGCAGCTCCAAGTGGCCGTTCTGTGCAGCCATCACGCACGTGTTTTGGTCCCAGCAGCACTGCTCAGACCGCGCCCATTGCAAAATTTCACTGTTGCCGCTAAACGCTGCACAATCGCACGTCCACTGGGTCCAGTGGCAGCCGACACTGCGCGCCCAGCGCACCACTTCCAGATGACCCCCCTCCGCGGCTGCATCGACAAGCCCGCAGCCCAAAGGGCACCCGGCTTCATGGAGCCAGCGCAGGGCCTCGAGATGGCCAAACTCTGCCGCCGCCTCGCACGCTAAGGAGTTCCATGGGCAGCCGGCCTCACGGAGCCAGCGCAGCGCTCCGAGGTCGCCAAACTTTGCCAGTGCCGCAAAGGTCCTTTCATCCCAGGGGCATCCCGCCTCGTGCAGCCAGCGCAGCGCGTCGACGCGACCATGTCTTGCTGCCGCTAGGCATGTACATGCGTCCCAGGGCCACCCAGCCTCGTGCGCCGCCTGCAGGACCTCCAAATGACCGCCGCCCGCTGCAGCGCAGCAGACTGCCCTGTCATCACTGTTCCCCCGTTGTTTCGCCCACTGCACTGGTTCGACGTCACCGCGGCCCGCAGCAAGGCAGGCCGCAAACCAGCGCTGCGTGGAGGTCAGCTCGGGCCACGCCGCCTGCATAGACCACAAAGGCGGCTCGAAGTCCACTGGAAGCGATACGCGCAACCGTGCGGGCCAGACCCACCAAGGCTGGCTGTTGCAGGGCTGCGTCTTCAGGGAAGTGCGCTTGAGTGCTGCCCATTGCCGCCAGCGGCGACTGAGTGCGCCGACCGTCACGCACTGCTCGCCCTGTGGCAGCCGCTCAAAGATGGCTGTCAGGATGTCGGCGTTGCTGATGCCCTCTGGCACAGCGGCGGCCGTGGGGTCGCCGCCACTGTCGGCGTCAGTCCGATCATGCAGGAGCAGCGACGGCAGCATGGCTTGCGAATTTGGCAAGGGGATCCTGGTGTTGTCCACGCGCGGTCGCCACCTGGCACTGCCTGTTGCTGCCTGCAGCTGCAGCTGCGGACATCGCTCGCCAGTTGTGAAGACACTACTGCTGCTGCTGCTGGTTTTGTGTTGATGGCAACCAGGCGGTGTTGGCAGCACCCGCCTGGGAGACACCTGAGCAGCACTGGGCCACACTCAAGCTTTGGACGAGAGGAGGGAGGTCACCGCTGCGATGGCTGCTGACCAACGCACCACTGCAGAGGGGTGGCACGACGCGTCGCAGCAAGGCCAAGGTCAGGGATGGCCCCTCTGCATGTGCCGGTTGCGGGAGGCTCAACATATTACTCAATTATTGACTCTGCACTTCCAGAACATCCACACAGGCAGGCCGAACGGCCTGCAGCTTCACCCCTTCGCTGTGCGTCAGTGAGATCAACATACAGCATGCAGCGATGGGTGGCGGCAGCCCTGAAGCACACCCACCCTCTTGGTTTGATGAGAAGCTAGCTAGTTCCACAGGTCAGGGTGCTCCCAGATTTGAGCGCGAATTGCAGGCAGATCGTGCCGCAAAATCGGGTGTGTTCTGAGCCTCGCAATAGGCATATTGAAAGTACTAAATTGGCAGGGTCGAGCGTTATATTGCCTGCATGCGCTGAAGCGGCCTTTGCCATGTGTTTCATTGGCATGACTGATGTGCATGGCCGGCAATGTCATCCGCATGATCAGCATGACGGCTTTGCGAGTTGTGCCCGCTGCACAATGCTGAGGCCTTTGTCAAAGCCACCATCATGCAAGCTACGGTAAATTATAGTTACATGCGCCATGATTCAACAGCCCCAACAAGAGTCCATCAACGGATGCTGCGGCCACGAGCAGCGCCCTAGGAATCCATTCACTGGGTGGGTGCCGCCTCTGCAAACTTATGCAGTGAGGCCTGAGGTTGTTTGTGATCGTGCGCCCAGCCTGAGCATCACCATGTGTGACACGTGCATACATACACACTCACTTCAACAGCCTATAGCAGGCGGATACATACCATGGGAAGGCAGTGTGTTTCTTGCTGGCGCAACACATGCGCTCAGCTGGAAGTTGCGGGTGACGACAGCAGTGATGGTGGGGCACATTTGCCATGGTTGCCGCAGACATGAAAACACAGCCAGTGTGTGCTGGCATTTAGCAAGCACAGAGGACCACAGAAGTTTTGCAGGCCAAGCGAGCGGCTGGCTCACGCCGAGGTGGTTGACCAGGCAGCAGGGGCTTGCGCCAGGCAGACAGCCCTGCAATTTTGAGTCTACTTACAAACACAAGTACTGCATGGCTTGAGGTTGACCGCACACGCGGCAGTTCGCTTTTGAACTAGAAACGGCACATGGCTACGTACAAATCAGTGACCAGGGAACCCGGGCAAGGGGCACACAGAAAAGCCGCCCCACACGCGGCAGTGGCAGGGACCATGGCCGCAGTATGGCAGGACAGCCGACGCCATGCGAAAAGCGACGCCAGGCAACCACCACAGCGCACGAGACTGCTTGGCTTGACGCGAAATAACAGTTGCGTGCCAATGGCTCCGCAGGGGTGTCGCGGCTCGCATGCATTATCTCTGCAGCGCAGCCACCCGGCTGCAGCGCAAATGAGCGCCGAGCACTGCAGGCCAGAGAGCTCGCTGAAGCGCCCCTGTGCATCCAGGAGTATACGGCCAGCTTCGTCTTGCACACATCAAGCCATATGACATGCCGCTGGCGAGCCACGGCACTGAGCGGGGCGCAGGTTGCGGGGCACGAGGAAATGGGTGGGGCATGGGGCCTGGGGCGAGGGGGCAAACGGGAACGCCGCACGGCGCACGGCGCAGGGCGCACGGCGCAGGGCGCACGGCGCAGGGCGCACGGCGCAGGGCGCCCCGTGCACGGGGCACGGGACAATCAGGCACAGGGGGCCGGCCGCGGGGCGTGGCACAGTGTATGTGGCTTGAGCACAGGACGTGGGGCCCCAGGCGCGCGGCGTGTGAGGGGCGCGCGGCGCAGCACGCCGCACGCCGGCCACACACATGCAGCAGCCCGTCCGGGCAGGCGCCTTTCAAGGCCTCCTGGCGCCTCGGGAGCTTTGGAGGCTGATGGCGTTGATGCTCTCAATGAGGTCCTGGATACTGCCCACGTCCTCGGGGCTTGTCAATGGGCTTGGTGGGCAGGGGCTTGATGTGCATGACCTTCATTGCTGCGATTGCATCCTCCAGGGCCGACGAGACGTCCTTCTGCGCCGGCCGCGGCTGCTGCGGCGGCTGCGGCTGCTGCGGGGCCCGCGGCAGCGGCCGCAGGTGCCGCCGCGCCAGCGGCTCGCCAGAAGCCGCTGGATCTTCGCCGCCTGCATCCTGGCCCTCCCGGCTTAACAGATCCGGCAGCGTTCCGTACTACGAGGAATGTACCATGTGGTTGCACAGGAAGGAGGGGTAGGGGGGAGGAGGGTCGCAAAGGCGCCCGCCCTCTGCATACAGCTGCAACCTTGTTTTCAGATCACCGTTAGAGGGAGCCGCCCTCTTTGCGACAACGAGGTGCAGGTAGCTGCTCCTGCATGGCTTGGAGCAAGCAGCCGGCGCCTTCCACTTGCGTGCAAACCCGTGCATCAGCCCCGGTGATGTGCAGGGGTGAGGGCAAGAGCATACCAGGCACAAGCGCTTCTGCAACCCTTGGAGCAATGTGCGACATACTAGATCTAGACAGGACCACCACCCGCTCTTGCTTGCAGCCACTCACGTATATCACGTAGACCCAAAGCAGGAGGAAAAGCATCCCTGGCAGGCACGCGATGTGCTCGTCCGCTTCTCCTATTGCAGCATGGGCTGCAAGGAGTGGCGAATTGGGGGTCAGGGGAGGAGTGCATGGCCCACGAGGGTGGTGACAGAGTGGATGGGATCAGCATTTGCAGGTTTGTACGTCAGACAGCATCACGTAAAAAGACAGAAACTGACATGCACACTCTGCTCGCCGAACGATCCTCTGTCTGGCGACAGCGGCACGGGCACGAGCACTGTCTCTGCAGTGCCTGCACCGTAACCTCGGGGTGCACTGCGCCACACGCAGCCCGGCCCCGCGCTGGTGGGCGGCGCCGCCACGCTTCCCCTGGTCCCCAGCGGGCCCGGCGGGCCCGTTATGGTGCACACCTGCATATTCCTGCGTTACGTCCACGAGGTCGATAAGGCTCGCGACCATGGGGAGCACCTTGTCGGCAGGCTCGAGGCCGAACCTCGCCTCACTGTACGAGAACACCCCCTCCGCCAAGCAGCCAGCACTGCTCACGGCATCATGGACACGCCTTAGCTCATCTAGCTTCTGCTGCAGAGCATCTGCCTCGTTTGTCGCGTCCTGGGCCTCCTCGGCATCCCCGCCCTCCGCGGCCTTCTCGCGCCGAAACAAGATCTCCTCCGGCAGCTCGCGGATGGCACCTCGCGCGTATGCTATGCGCTTTCGAACCGCCCGCAAGGCTGCAGCACCCTTGGCGAGGATGGTGTCGATCAGACGTTCGGAGTTCGGGATCCCAGCACACGCGTAGCTGAGCACGTCGTTGATCGTGAGCTGGGACATATCTGCCGTAGAGATGTATAATTATCTAACGAGGGTACATTCAGGTGCGAATTTTAAATTCAGGCAAGAGCCATGCTCTTGGCCGGCGGCACCGTACTGCCCCGCGCACTGCTGCTGTTCTGTGGTGGGATTCGGCACGATGGATGTGCCAGGTTGGGTAAGGGACGCGGTGGCCATGGAACATATAATTTTTTATCAGAAGGCTGTTCTGCACTGTCTGTACATTGTGGCAATGCCAGCTAGCTAGTCAGCACTACTAATTGCTGGCAGGATTGCAGTGCCAGCGCGTTTGCGCCTGCAGCCAAAGCATAGCAGGGCCAACACATGGGACGCAACAGTGTTGTCAAGAAAGCAAGCCACGCTGATGTTGCCAGGGAGTTGGACTTCAAACGTCCCTTTAACCATAGTCAGCATCCTTGGCAGCGCAATCTCTATCTGCTGCGTTCCTGGGCCTGCCCCTACTGACCTAATTGTTTTTGGACACCACGTGTGGCGTGATCAGGGGGGCGAAGTGATACTGAATGAGTATGTGGCAACCTGTGAGGTGACAAGCTGTGCAGCACACCTAATCAGCGAGATCGCTGGTGGCCATAACTTCATTCCAACCTTACAGGCAACAGGGGCTTGACGAATTCCAAAGCCATCATCCTTAGGCCGTCAACCTTCGCTTTCTCAGCAGCGACTTCGTCCTTTGCAAGCTCAAACCGGGTTGACCTGAGCTGCGCCGCGACCGCCCCCCCTCCTGCGCCGCCCTCGGTCGCGCGGCCGTCGGCCAGGTCCTTCTCCCGCCGCGCGCACAGCAGCACAAACCAGCGCAGCTTGACCTCCTCGTGGCGCCAGCCCAGCTCGAAAGTCAGGCGCTCGTCCATGAGCTCGAAATCCTGAAGCTCCTCCAGGTGTTTCAGCAGCTGCCACACCGCTGGCCTGCGGCAAGGGGACGGGAGTGTAGAATTTGTTTTGCTTTTGGGGGGGCGGGGGACGGGCAATATGGAAAGCTTTCATGTTGGGAACATCGAGAGACTGAGAGACCGTGTCTCACTGCACACTGTGACGGTGTGCGCCGCCCAGATGGGTCCTCCTGCACACTGTTGCCAGAGCAATGCAAACTCTTGTTTTGATTGAGCAGTGACCCCAGCTGGCTCAACCCCTGCGGTCAGCGACTCCCAGCTGGGCAGCCTGGCGCCCAGCACGTGCCCAACACCATCCCTCTGTGACAGCCCGACGACCTGCAAAGCTGCGTGCGCCCAATCACCTGTGCGCCGGGTCCTTGTGGAGGCATGGAAGGACAAAGTCCTTCACAAGGTTGGGCACACCCAGGCCGCCCAGCACTTTGTCCAGGGCGCTGACAGGGTCGTTGCTCGCGTGCGCCACCCTGACCGCCTCGCGCAGCGCCATGGCCTCCCGCTGCACCAGCACCAGCTGCAGCGCGACGATGCCGAACGCAAACACGTCGGACGCCGGGGACGGCTGCAAGCGCTTGGCGTCCAGCTCTGGTGCCATGGTCTCCTCAGAACACCCTTGCACAGAGACGAAGCTGCCGGCGTCCTCTGGCGCCCTCGGTATAATGTAGCACTTGTCAAAGTCCAGCAGCACAGCCTGCAGGCGCTGTGCACACAACGATTTGTGAAGAGGAGGGGCGCGCGTTTGCACAGAGTTCAAGTCCTTGGCTTGCTGCAATCTGTCCCCCACCAAGTAAAGCCGCTGCATCCTGACACGCCCAGGTGCGTGTTCCACAATGCCAGAGCTGGCTGTGCGGGGCCCTGCGCCCGGCCTCCCGGGCTCACCCCGTGGTACTGCAGGCCAATGTTGTCCAGTTTCAGGTCACCCTTCACCAAGCCGGCGCTGTGCAGGTCTGGCAGCCCCTCCAGCACCGAGACAAGCACGCACCACTGATCGGACCAGGGGATGCCAGCAGACAGGGGGCGCAGCAGGCAGCCCGCCCGCGTGCCTTTGACGTCGCGCGCGCCCTCGGGCATCTTTCGCTCCAGGTCCGGCAGCTGCAGCGGCATGCGGCGGCTGCCAGGGACGGTGCTGCCCTTTTGGAGGAGGGATTCCAGCATCTCCGGGCACAGCACCTTGACCTGCAGCAGCCGGAACCCGCCGTCCTGCATGGGCTGCAGCTCGACGCGGAAGGTGGTGCGAAGGGTGGGGGAGCGCGCCAGGAGGGGCAGCAGGCCGCCGAGGCGGCAGGCGAACGCCAGCACCTCGGCCTCCTGCGTAATCTCGAAGTCTTGCACTTTGACCGCGACGTCGATGATGAACGTGGGGGTCACGTACAGCCGGCCCTTGAACACGTTTGAGCTGAGGCCTTTGCCAAGCAAGGCGAGCGGGTCCTCTGGTCGGTACCTCAGCTGGCCCGGGTCCCCTATGAAGTAGGCACGACCTGATGCGGGGGTCGGTGGCGAGCGCCAGACGGCAGTCAGGGGGGTGGAGCGCTCGAGCCAACGCCCTAGAAACAAGCAGCCAAGCCCCCCCCCCCCCCCCCC